GAGAGAGAGAGAGAGAGAGAGAGAGAGAGAGAGAGAGAGAGAGAGAGAGAGAGAGAGAGAGGAACGCCTGGTCATTATCGCTGCACCTGGACTGGAACTTGCGCCAAATGCAGCTGGAATGACCGGCAGTAGGTGTTCCCCACTGAGGCGTTTCGACGTTACCGAGGATTCCTTCCAGGTAACGCGCCTTCCTGTGCTCGGAATGATGTGTCTTTTTTTTTTTTTTTTCTAACAGATTTTTTTTTTTTCAACAGATTATTTCATTCACATCTGTCCTTCTTGATGTGAGACATGAGTCCTACAACAGCTGTGGTGCGTGTTTTTATTTATTTATTTATTTATTTATTTATTTTTTATGTGGTGCGTTCACACTTGTCATTGATTTTACCTCAGGGGTCTTATTCGGGTGAAGACCGTACACCTCCTGCATCTGGACAGAAAATTGGCCCAAATACAGCTGGACTGGCCATGTGTTCTGTTCGGGTGAAGAAGACTAGTATTCGGACTGGTCGGGACTCGAGAGAGATCAGAAGGTAACAGACGTCAAAAGGTATATTCGGAGGTGTTCTGTTCGGGTGAAGATTTTAGTATTCGGCTTTTTTTTTTTTTCCCCTGGACGAGTGGATGTAACATATTGGATTATTATTATTATTATTTTTTTTTTCTGGACGAGTGGATGTAACATAAGATATGAGCGACATTGGGCAAGGTTATTCTTGTGATTCACAATTGATGACGTTTGCGGTGGAAAAGGGGGGGAGAGAGAGACAGAGAGAGAGAGAGAGAGAGAGAGAGAGAGAGAGAGAGAGGAGGGTTTGACTGCGAGTTTTTCTAGTCTAAGAGGGTTTGAACTCGCGGGTTGGAGACCGGAGATTTGGTAATGTCTCTGAGCATTGAAGTCTGTTGTTGACGAAAACGAAAAGAGGAGAGGCTTTTATGTAGTAGAGCGACCCGGAGCGGCGGTTTCGAAGTAAATGAACGGGAGCGGTTTTGAGCTCGAACGGGATAGAGATATGGAACCGGCAACGTGGGGAGTTTTTTTTTTTTTTTGGTTAATAATATTTTTCCGTAGAACTGGGAAGGTTTTGGACTCGGACGGCTACCGTCTTCACCCGAATAGAACGCGCGGTCATTATAGCTGTATTTGGTTCACTTTTCAGTCCAGATACAGCTATAATAACCGGGCGTTCTATTCGGGTGAAGACGGTAGTATTTTGAATATGAACAGGCGGCTAGTCTTTTGAATATGAACAGGAGAGGTTGTCCTTTTCGTTGGAAAGGCGATGGGCCGACGGCCTAATGTCATTTGTCTCTCTCCCGGACCGACGGTGCAGTCGGGATTTCCGGGATGCCGATGATGCAACGGAGGGTTGGTGACTCGTAGGGAATGTGGGGGTTGCAGATGGAAGAAACCCCCTGAGAAAAAAAAAAAAAAAAAAAAAAAAAAAAAAACCCTGAGGACGATCGTCGGGAGGCCATCGAAACCGGTCGGAGACCCGCTTTTGTCGGGATTGAGTTTACTACTTTTTCCTATCATTGCGTGTCCTTGTCCGTGCACGTGTGTGCATGTGTGACGTCTTTTTTTCTAGCGAAGTGAGTGTTTCACTATCGAATTACCAACCTTGTCGTTTGAAGGGCGGCGGGCCCACGGCCTAATGTTACTTAGGGTCTCGTTAGACACTCCTAAAAGTGCCTGTTTTTAGGATTGCGTCTTGGTTGCACGCAATCCTAAATCCAATTTTTAGATCGAAAATGTGAAAACAGCGGTAGGACGAGTCCTAAAGGATTTAGGATTCCGCAGGCAAAATCGTCCTAAATTTTCCAGTAGCCCCTGACCTACTGAAAAATTTAGGATTCTCGTGTTTCACGGACTCGTTGCGTTAGCCGGTGTCCACGCTACGACCGGGCTCGGTGTCCGCGCTACGACCGGGCCTTCCCTCGGCCGACCCCCCTGAGGCTGCGGCGCGTATACGGGAAGGCCCGCGGCCAATAGCTGAGCGAGGTACTGGTGGTTTGAAGTCCACCGTTATGAAGAAAAAAAAAACAAACAAAAAAAAAAAAAACAAAAAAAAACAAACAAAAAAACCCTCTGTTACGAACCTCATCACATTGCACTCGACAAAGTAGATCGTAACCGAGTCAACACTTATCCATGCATAAAAGCCATAGGAAGATGGAGAGATAGATAGATAGATAGATAGATAGAGAGAGAGAGAGAGAGAGAGAGAGAGAGAGAGAGAGAGAGAGAGAGAGAATTTAAGGACATAAAACGTAAAACAAATTCCCCAACGTGACGGGATAGTTGCACTGAAAACAACGGTGTCCTTCTAAAAAAAAAAAAAAAAAACAGTGTGTCTACTACCATCTTCTCCCGAACACAACGAACCCCGTCATCATTCTTGCCTGAACCTGAACGGAAAGATAGCTTGTATACATCCATAATCAGTTTGCGCTTAGTTCCCCGGAACACCGTGTCCGTCAGGTCCTATTATGAAATACAGACCCAAGTTCAAAAATCCAAGTGAAAAAAAAGAATATGGATGGCATCATAGGATTCGGGCTAAGGGTCTCGTTAGACACTCCTAAAAGAATCCTAAAATTTTTAGGACGAGTCCTAAAGGATTTTTAGGATTTTGTGCGGCGTTGTTACACGAAATCCTAAAAATCATCTTTTAGGATTCGTCCTAAAAGGTCTCCCGCGGCTGGTTTTCATATGCGTATACGCAGCCGCGTCCCCAATGTCCATCCATTCCTGCCAACGTCCGTCCAAT